TGCCGGGTTTGAGACTGAAACATGTTTGCCATCAAGAAAACGTTGGCAGAGCTCTTCAATGTAGTGAGACTGATTGAGAAAGATATGCCTATTTTGTGTGTCACGAGAAATTTTCAGTGATAATAAGTGATGAAGTTATTCATCCGCTCCAATCTGGAATTTGTGACCTAGAGAGGCTATGATTGAATCAACGTTATTGCCTTCCCCAACAATAGCCAGATCATCCACATGAGTTCTAAGTGCTGCAGTGAGTCTTCCACCGGATATTTGAAAATATAGAGTGGGGTCATATTTTGATTGAGTGAGGCCAAGTCTGGTGAGTGCTTTATGGAGTTCGGTGTTCCACTGTCTTGGTGATTGCTTCAGCCCGTATAGCAATCGATCTAGTTTGCATACCCAGTCTGGATGTTGAGGATCTTTGAAACCAGGCGGTTGCTCCATGTAGACAGTGTGATCAAGGTGGCCATTGAGGAAAGCAGTCTTGAAATCAATTTGATGACCTTTCCAGTTTTGGGAAGCCAGTAAGCTGAGAATAAGACGGAGAGTTTCCAGTTGAAGGGTGGGAGAGAATAATTCTTGATAGTCCAGTCCTTTCACCTGAGAGTAGCCCATTGCCACCAGACGCGCCTTGAGTTTTTGGATGGAGTGATCTGGAGGGTGTTTGACTTTAAAAACCCACTTCAATTTGATGATTTTCCGCCGCTGAGGTCGAAGAACAAGGCACCATGTGTGCATCCCAAGTAGAGAAGCAAACTCGTCTTCTGCTGCTTTCAGCCATCTGGCCTTGTTAGGTGATTTCAGCAATTGACGCCAAGTCTTGGGAGTGTCTAAATCATCGGCCACCTTGGTGTTTTTGGCCCAGTTGCCGTATCGTTTGGGTGGTCTTCTTTCACAACCCGAGCGGCGTCTTGGTGGAGAGGAGGTTGGCTGGGATGCCTGTGGGACAGTTGGCAACTGTGAACAACTTGGAGATGCGGGAGATTCCAAAGGTGTTGAGTTAGACGGAGACAAAGAGAGCTCAGAGGCAGGAAGTGGTGGGAGTTTTATTGGGACCAGCATATCAGGGCTTGGGATTGGAGACAGGGGAATAGAACTGGCACGGTCCGGGGTTGATGAGGGGTCTGAGTCAGAGGCAATGGTGACAGGTTGTTGAGGTGCATTCCCAGGGGCATGGATGGATGCTGTCAGCCGGCGATCAAACCAAGGCTCCAGTTGAATGTCCAGGAGAGTTGAATTGGGAGGTGAATCGGGGATGGAAGGAGCCCTTGTCAACGGAGTCGAGACGGTGTTGTCCTGGCTAGCAGCGTCCGAAATTTGTGTGTCTGAGCTTGTCTGTGATGGCCAGGGTATTTCTACCAGAACCGGTTCAGGATCAATGACGAGCTTGGAGCCATACGGGAAGACAGAGTCTTTAAAGAGAACATCTCTGGTCTTCAGCACTTTGCGTTTTTCCAGATCCCACAAGCAATAACCGTTTCCGTCCGGGAGATAAGAGAGTAGAATAGACGCCCAACCCTTCTTGTCTAATGACTTGCGGTTGGCTTCTGGAACAGTATAGTACGTGATATTGAACTTAACTTAGTTCACTGTTTCACTTTCTCTAATTTTAAGTTCGCATTTCTTTATTTTATCAGCGCGCCGCAGTTGTTGAACCTAGTTGATCATGTACAAGTTCCTCATTTTATTGTATCGGTTCTTTCCTCAATCAACCAAATTGTTTCTTAACTACAACTTGCTAACCAACTTCATTCATCAAACTTAGGTTAGTATTCTTTCACTTCTTATCATTGTTGTTCAAGTCTTAACCCTTTTTTCTCTTCATGTTCAGGTTGGTTCTCTTCACTGTTCTCTTTAAGTCGTATCGCTGTGATACTAACTTATCCAACTACTCAAAGGTGTGTATTATAAGAAATGCAAATCAACCAAATTGTTTCTTAACTACAACTCGCTAACCAACTTCATTCATCAAACTTAGGTTGGTTCTCGTCGCTGTTCTCTTTAAGTCGTATCACTGTGATACTAACTTATCCATCTACTCAAAGGTTGGTTCTCGTTGCTGTTCTCTTTAAGTCGTATCGCTGTGATACTAACTCATCCATCTACTCAAAGCTCGTTGTTCATTAGGTTATGAGCCCAGATTGTGCTTAATCTGCAAGCTTAACGAACACAAATTTTTGTATACACAATGACGGACAAAACGACCATCAGTCATCTTCCACTTTTGACCAAAGTCAATTTTCAAAATTGGAAGAATGTTATGTTTTTGTTCTGTCTGAGACAACGAGTTGACGCTCATCTTCTATTGGATTTAGTTGCTGGCGAAAAGGACGCTGTAGCTAAGGTCGCATTGGAAGACAAGAAGGCCAACGCTGCTGGCATTCTCGGAGGTAATTTAGGTCTAGAAAACTACGCCAAGTTCATCACCAACAACAATGTCAGAGAACCACACAAGATGTCAGCCACAGAGTACATGTCACAGTACCTTTCATGTACCAAGTAACTGCAACACCTGTACTTATGTACATAAGTACTTATCCATAATGTTGATTACCTTTACCTCTTGTTATCTTATCTTCATTATTAGCTTATCTTATTTATCTTATATTTATCTTATCTTTTAATTAATTATCTATTAAATACATATCTGTGTTCTACATAAGTAATTATCACTTAAGTTTCACTCCTTTGTCCGTGAAATACCTGTACCACAAGTTATCCCTCTTCTACAGTATTTTTCACGGTCAAATATTATTACAAATAAATATGTACATGTATTAAATAGTAAGTATTAAGTGTCAATAGAATTAATACATTCAATACATGCACTGATCACAATTATGACTACATTATTAGGGGATCTGTTAAGTACACATCAAGAGCAACTAGTACATTGATCAACTATAAGTACACAATTATGATGTAACTTACAGATCATGACAAATAATGATCAGTCACTCAATTGATGTGCTCATTCTCCTGGCCAAAGCTCCCTTGATTCTGAGCACTCATTCTTTCCCCCCTTCAGTATTCTGGAACTTATAATCTGTGCCTCTTTCACTGATTAATCCCCAGAATATTCAGACACCAGTAAAACCAGTTAACATTTATGTTGATACATTACACGTAACCAACATAAATCTTGTCTACATTTACTGTTCTTAAGCTTCAGTACTCTTACTCAACTTATCCACAGTATTCATAGCCTTGCTGAATATTCCCATTAACAATACCTGTTAATCTTCAACTAATTTTGTTAAAGCTTAATAAGTATTGTTAGCCCATTCCCTTTTGGGGAATAACCAAATCAATCCCAGGTGAGTCTTAGTACCCTGGATGCCTATTAATACCTTGTATTGATCTGGATGCGCTGTTGATAGCAAGCCTCTCAGTAAAGACCATACTGATAGAGTGAAAGCTCCTCATTACAGGACTGGTATTAATCACCCACTACCTAACACTCACCACGCTCAAAAACTTCAGTCAACTCATAGTAACAACCTTTTTACTATTAAATACTCAGGTGAGTTACCCAGAGGCTGACAATTGGGGGTCTGGCCTAATTGGAATTCCGTGACTAACATATCTCCTTGCTTCTCTTAACCTCTTGTCCCCAAAACAATTACTACTAACAATGGCCTTCTGAAGAACAAATGCCGGAAGTTTTGCCATTTATTAGACAAATAGATCGTACAATTGCAGAAGAAGCTAGTAGATATTACCACAACCACCCGGATAACATTACAGTTATTGAAAGAGTAGAAAAAATAAAAGTAACAGAAGCAGAAGATAGATTTTGAATTACATAGAAACTAAGCGCTACCATTGTACCCTTCATTCTACCTATTCCCCTGACTACATACTCATAAATCTTGTAGAAAAGGACGTGTCCATAGTAGAAAAAACTGTAGAAACCAATAGAAACAACTTCTTTACAGCGCTAGAAGAAACTCCAAAATATAGAACTCTTCCTACTAACATCTTGTCTAGAACAGTCCGCTACTTCTCTCTTCCACCTTTCACTTCTTGTTCTCCGCCTCAACCAAGCTCCATAATCATAGACCTCACGGATTTAGAATAAATTAGACTTGCTTTTATCTTATCTCATTTAAAATTTCTTAGTATAAGCATTAAAAACACCATAAAACACAAAAATAAAATTCTTGCGCTATCTGTTCCACTCCTCTCGTGCCACAAAAAGTCACAAAAATATTTCATTATATTTCCATTTTGATTCATCCACACAGAAAAAATTAAAAACCCTTAAAAAATAAGTCTGTGTCACTTAAAAAGTCCTATTTTTTCAGTCTGAGTCATTTTACACTATTGCGGAGAAAGAACCATAACAGATACAAACAATCTGAGTCGACCATTCGATCCGCCGTACCCTGTTTACACACCAGGTTTTTTTCCTGAGCCTTAGAAGTCTACTACCATTCCTACGGCGTGAGCGGATCTAGTCTCATTTACCCAGCATCTCGAGGGATTAGTACTTGGTCAAAGTCTAAAAATAGGGTTATCTCACGTGTACATAAATTTTTGCAGGCCGTATTACACAGTTACAACTGAATACACCCCGGATTTGCCAGGATCTGCAAGGATCTACATACATACAGATCTTCCGTACTACCACTCCCGCCTAGTACATCACCCCTCCTACTAAACTGTTGAAAGTGATCTTTCCTGATCTTTGAGAGAGTGTAGCTCCTTCATTATTTGATCTAAATCAACAAACAGGATACAGAACTCATCGCCTTTATAAGACGTATCCAGCGCCGCTTTCCTTTCCATCCTCACTCAACTCCATCACCCAGTTTCAGTAGCAAACACCGACCTCTCAAGTTTTTGACCAGAACTATTTTGAAATATTCCATTCTGAAAAGTTGAGCGTGTTCCTTAGCTTTTGAACTTATCTCTCGAACAAAAAATTTCCAAAAAAGCTCAAAAATTGGTTGTGTAACAGTGTCCGCCGTCAACAGCACCCTTAGCGCTAACATCCAAAACCTGGAAGTACACGACAAAAACACTGCGCCAAGAGACAATAGAGCCCAATCCCCTCAAACAAATAATAAAGAAGCCTCAGTAGTTGCCTCAGATAAATGCTCAGGTGAATTTAACACCTCTACATATTTTTTTGTTATCAATTTTCACCGGGTAAAAATATCCTACTAAGACCTGTTTTCTTTTACCATGTCTCCACCTTCTCTCAGAATCAGAGGTTATAATGGAAGGACCAGAGATGCTCCATCATCCCAGAGAGAATTTCCACCAGCGTCAGTTTTACTCAAGAATAAAGATAAAATTATTTACGCATCCAAAAAGAAATTAAATTCTCCTACTAACAGTTCCCAAGGAAGAGAAATTCGAACGCTATTACTACAGGATGAAGACCAACAAGGAATGGTTGAAGGATGTGCGCAACCGCAGCAGTTACTCGGCCATCAGAGCTCTTCTAAAGTATTGCCAGGAGGATTTCCAAGCGATGATAGACTTAAGAGGAATGACGACAAGACTCAAAAGAACCAAGGGTTGGAACCCATTAAACGTGACGGCAGAGAGTCTCCTTCAACCACGAGAAGCGCCGGACCGTCAAGAAGAATCCATGAGACCCCTTAGTCGCAGAGGGAGGAATATCCATTCAAGACACCCAAGGAATACAGGGAGGAACACTCAATGGCCCAGCCAAATCTACAAAGAGATGGTACGCCTTGGGAGATCTCTTCAAGGGACTTATCAACACCTAGAGAAAGGCAAAATCAACCGCCAACACCGCTTCATGGAAGAGGAGCCTTGAATATTTCCCCTACACCTGCGCGTGAAAAATTTCCTGATAGTTCTGATAGTGATTCTACTAGTAGGAAATCAAAATTATTGTCTAGTGATTATTCTACGCCACAAGTCCCCCATGAAAATATCCCCATAGAAATTTCTCTGCGCAGAGCTGTTAATATGTTTACTGAGAACCTGAATTTTTTAGTACAACATACTTTAAGAAACAACAGAAAAATTACCACTGATATGAAGAAATTATGCCGTAAAATTGAGGGCAACTGTGATAAAAAAGCTGATGAAGAAGATGATAATTTTACTTACATCAGAGACAAAGTTATGATCATGGAAACTGGCCTTGAATTATTACATAAAGAAATACCAGAAATGCTTGAGAAATTAGGAGATCAGACCACTCGAGTAGTAACCAGAGTAGAAGAAAAATGGGAAGATATACAAAACAATAACAAAGAAATGATCCATAAATTCAACAACATGGAACAATCTTTCCAGAAACTGCAAAAAGACACGCTTGAAAAAATTAATTCACAATATAAAAGCTTTGAAGATGTTGTTAACAGAATGGAATTAAATAATTTAAATAACAATAAAAATAATTCCGCCAGCTTCATCAAATTAGAAAATAAAATTGAGGAATTAATTAAGATTAACCAAGAGCCCAACAGTTGTCAGAATTTAACATCCCAACACACTGTTCACGGCAAAGGAAAGGACATACCACCTCATGTGAATTCATCAATTACCATACCAGATAAAATAAGTACAAATCCTTTCTTTAATTTATCAAACACACAATCCAGTAATATGAATTTCAGTGACCCTAAAATTACCACCCCAGTTAGATCAATTAACACTGAAGTACACCATTCACAAGTAACAGATGACCAAGATAAAACAATTCAGAAATTAATTTTATCAGGAATGCCAAAGGTTAATGAATGGAGTACCTTTTCAGGGAAGGGAGTGTATGATCACTATAAATTCATAGAATGGATTGACAATCTTAAAGAAGATACCCAAGCACCAGATCCACTTATATGTTCTAAATTGAATGCAATTTTAACAGGAGCAGCTAACACATGGTATAATCAGAGGAAGAAAGAAACTCATGGAGTCAAAGATTGGAGTTTCTGGAAGAAAGAAATTATAGCTAAATACAGCACGCCTGAATGGAAAAGAAAAGTTAGAGAAAATTTCAGAAAGAACAGATTTGACATCAAAGGAGATATTGAACCATCTGAATGGGTTACTACTCAAGTTAACAGATTGAGAGCAATTGAAAGAAATATTGATAATGCTGCTATAAATGATAAATTATTGGCCCAATTGGATGACAAAACTGCTTACAAAATGAGAATTGCCTTAAATGATGAGGATGACTTGACTCAATTTATCAATGAACTAGAAAGTATAGCTAATATTAAAAGAAAGAAATACAAAAGAGATAATAAAAGTGCTACTAAAGACTACTCCAGAGATTTCAAGAAAATTAATAGAGACTACACCAGTAAAGACAAAGATAAAGAGAAAGAAAAACAAGTCACCTGTTATGAGTGCGGCAAAAAAGGACATAAATCTACTAAATGCCCTAAACTTAGTAAGAATAAAAAAGATGTCATGATGGTTGAAGCTCAGGAAGATAACCAACAACCCTTTTCAGAATCTGAGGATAATGATGCCAAATCTGAGAGTAGTGATTCTGAATCATCTTCT